GTACTACATTTCTGCAGAGTGAATCTATGTAAATTATGTTGGTTAATGAACTTCTCAAAAAAAATTCCAATAGACTTGTGATGTACATTTTTTCTGTAGTATTATGAACCTATTTGGCGTCTTGAAGTATAAGAAGATGGGGGAGGATTTTCTTCAGAGTTCTGGCTTTCCATTTACCATAATTAGGTAAGATGAAAATGTTGCATGTTTTATACCCGATATTGTCGTGTTGATAATTAAAAAACAAAGGTGTTTTTATTCCCAAAATATCCTCATATGGTGTATTTAAATGTATTTTAGACCTGGAAGATTGACTGATGGACCATACACATCTTATGATCTCAATACTTTACTCAAAGCAACAGCTGGTCAGCGGCGAGCAGTCCTTATAGGTCAAGGTAGATGAATAATATTCACTATTATAGCTATGGTCTATGTCACAACACAAGCATTTCTTTCCTCTTTATTGTTTATTTATGTGAAGCACGGACACTAGGGGTGAAAATGGTTGACTTCAAGGATTGAACGCCCTAAAAACCAATTGCGTAAAGTACTTAAATAAATCTCTTGGATGTGTTATTTTTTGGTCTTAACCCTCTAGTTTCAAGGGGAGGGAAGTCGTGATAATTCGGAGTTCAGATGAGAGATAAGTAATGTCTGATCAAGGATTGTTTCGGCCTGAATTTTCAAATTTAGGTTCTCCCAAACGATTTGTCTTTAACTGATGCTCATTAATCACTTGAGCCTAATCACTTGTTTGGATGTGTTTGTTATGTCCCTATACATGTGATGATTTATACCTTTTGCTAGTATTTTTGTTTAAAGTTTCAGAAATATGGTAACTAATTTCAGGAGATAAGCTAGTGGGAGAGGCTAGCAGAATTGTGGTTGCTGAAGCTTGCATACAGGCACTAGATCTTGAAGTCACTGAAAACCAAATATATGAAGTTAACTCTGTTGAGGTAAACTTTCAGTGGTAATCTTGTTATTGAGTATATATAATTATATAATGGATGTGTTCATCACATGAGATCAAAATCACATGATAGAAAAGCTTGAAAGTTCTCAACTATCTGTTACTGTTAAGTTTATGATTCATATCTAGTGCAAATCAAATACTTGAAAGATTTGTTTTATTGTTGAGGCTATAATGCATATATTTCAGGGGGAAGGTCCAGGAAATGATCCTCAGAAATGGCGAGAATTATTCGAGGCGGCACGCTCTAGCTAACTAGACTTATTGTCAAAACTTGTATATCATTAAGAACCATGTATATGCATCATAGTTAGGGGATACACACAATTGTTGTATATATATACACTTATTTATTCATTATTGGATACACACAAAAGCACTTGCTTCATTAACAATATTGCCAATTATACACACAAAAGCACTTGTTTCATAATGTAAATCATGTGCAAGTTGATTATTCAACGATCACAGGTTACACAAGACAACATCTTGTGAAAGAAGTTTTTGGATTTGGATTGTGTACTACATGAATTGGCACAATCAACAATTTCAGATCCATCAGCTCCATTTTTCTTTGCTTTCTCACACTCTTTCAAGAACGTATTGAATGCATCCTCAACATATTTAACTGCGTCAAAAACACACATGTTCTCGACTAACTTGTCCGGGTATATACTCTTTCTATGATCTCCATTTAGAGTTGCTGCCATCAGTACTAATTCTTCCTGAAATTCACTCAACTTGGCTCGTTCTTTAGCAGCCGTCTCTCGTAGTTTAATCGGGTCGGGCAGTTTTTCTGGACAAGGATGAGGTAACATTTTATTCATTGAAAGTTCATCAAAACAACACACATTAAATATTTATTTAGTCTGTGTAAGAGTTTGACTTCGTATACTTAAGAGACAGATATTTTACCTGGACAATCGGTTCGCGGGCTGGTTAGGGTTAAAAGGCTCTCGAATGTTCCAGCCCATGCATCCCTCTTTGTCAAAAAATTAGGGAGATTAAATATCTTCTTCACAGTTGCTGGTATAGATGAATGCTCATATTGTGATGTTGGAAACGGTCCAGAAGGTTCATGCAACACTATTTAAGATTAACCATGTTATTATTAATTGGTGTAACTAGTTCCTTAAAAAGAGTGAATTACAATCAATATAAAAAGTTATTATAATGCACAAAATTAAGAAAACTCTAAATTATAGGAAGCATTAATAACTTAGTTTTAGTTTGCATGTATATGCATGTGCATCTCATTCTTACCTTTTCCTGGCTCAATCCATGGAGAAATAAAGATGGTTGGAACCCTAACACCAAGCCTATCAAACTTAAACTTGAATGGCTCAGGACCAACAATGTCATCTGGACTAGGGACTCCATCCACTGGCGTTGGCACGTGATCGTAAAATCCTCCATGTTCGTCGTAAGTAATCACAAACAACATTTCATTCCATTGTGGACTGCCCCTTAGTGCTTCATACACTTCTTTAACAAATTTTTGTCCTTCTCCAACATCATGAGATGGATGATCGTCATTTGCAGGTATTGAGAACAAGTCGAAAAATCTTTGTTCTATCACCACGTAGTTTGGTAATTTTCCTTCTTCACAATGCTTCTTGAATGTTAATCCGTATTCGTGAAAGTTATTTATGTATTTTAGCTGCCTAAGATTCCTGAAAGTGATTATAAGACATCAATTGTAACCATACACAACCAAATAAATGAAGCAAAACAGAAAAATAAGGAAACTTGTATAGTAAGGTACCTAAATGATGAAATGAACAAACCTGTAGAAAAGTGTGGATGGTGGTTGTTGATGATAGATCCCAAAATTGAACCCATTTTCATCCAAAGAATCAAATATTGTCTTTTGAGGTAACCCTCCAATTAGCTTATAAGCGTCATTGCTAGATAACCCATGTGACGTGGCGGAGTGCACATAGAGCCGGTTTGGTTGGGTCGAAGCAGGAACCGAAGCAAACCAGTTGTCACAAACCGCAAACTCTTTAACCAACTCTTTGTAAACCGGAACTAGATTCGGTTTAAACCCATTCATAACTGCCTCCGTCATTGTCAATGTTGTTGCCTCTTTTGGTTTCTCTTGTCTCGTCGCGTTTTGAGCAAAGCCCTCCATCATTGGCGGCAATTTCTTTGCTGCCGACGCTTCGCTCCATGGTTCTCCAAAAATTTGCTCGTAAATGTCTTGGATTGAATGACCAGGGTCTGGATCAACATAGATGGATCGGTCACTAAATTGAACCCGGTTTGAGTTGGGATCGGACGTTGAAATTGGGTTTGACTCTAAACCGGTAACACCGTTGATTTTTGGATTTAAAAACTTCATCCAACCCAACATGTGGTCAAATGAACGGTTCTCTTGAACCAAAACGACCACCGTTTTGATAGGGTAGCTATTAGTAGGGCTAGAATTTGAAGTCATTTTCTTGAAATTTTTCTTCGTTTTTTGGATGAATTTTTCTGATAATTCTCAAATGGAAGACATATTTATACTTATTACATGCACTCAAATAACGTGATGAAGTTATATTGTTGGTGAAGCAACTTAGAAAGGCATAAAGAATATACTATACGACAAGTGAAAAAGAGACTCAAAAGAATCTAAATAGATCCCTTTGAATAAGATTTGTTTAATAATGAAAATACATATCATAAATGCTTGTGTTTCTTTAACTTGTCGTGATGGTTTGAATAACAAAAAATGCTTGTCGTAATAGAACATATGGACAAGAAATAACCAAAAAAACAAATCATTTTGAAACGAGGTGTGGCTTGTAAGCTAGCAATTGGAAAACCTTAACATGTACACAATGATGTTATTATACGGCGACTAACTACTAGTAATAAATATTCATTTATAAAAAAGTAAGGGTCACGATAGATCGCATGTGGCATGTTTGAAATATGACCATAAACAGAGTCAAACCAAACCCGCACATTAAATAACTATGTCTATGGTGCATACAGATTCTACAATTTAGTATTTAGTAGTATAAAGTTTTTGTCTATCAGGTTAATTCGGACATAGATAATTTCGATATTTAAGAGGTGTTGGAGAAAATCACTAATTGGTTCTTTGATGCATCACTTCTCCATTCATAAAACTATCAAATGGTTGAATACGATCAAAACTCTTATTAGAAAATACACTACATAATATACTACATGCCTAAAAAATGAGCAATCAAAAAATAGTAAAAGAAATTTCCCGCACCACAATCTTAAAAACTCATTTAAAATGTGAAGACAAAACAAATTCCCCTTTATGAGTAATATGCTGTTGAATAACTTTCAAACAAATAGAGGTATCATTATAGAGGTATCATTGCACCATCGACCATCGCCTTTCACAAGGACTGATATAATCAATTAAGAGTTACCCCATGAATCTAGAAAAAAGTAAGCCAACAAAGACCTATATTCCTCTACTAAATTTTTTTCCCATGGAAAAATGACTCATCTAACACCTCCACCCCTTCATCACCCTCCATATCCAACCAATTTAGCATAACGACAACATACATTGATTTTCCAATAGATAAGCAAACAACCTACTCTAAATATAAATGTCTCTCCCAATCAAAATTTGAATGTAAATTCGCCAGTTCGTGTGTATTCCCTTATATTAGACACACGTTAATTTAAGCTATTAATCTACATGTAACAAAGTACTCAACATATCTCACATGGCCACATGAGTGAATGTAATTTCTCCAAAAGAAAACACAATTCCTTTTCTCATTATTCTTTTATCATGGTTTGCTTAACTCCAACACAGTTTCACTTCAATCTATATCAATATATAATTTTCTCATTATTCTTTTATCATGGTTTGCTTAGGTATCAATTAATTTAACTGACTATTTATTTTTTATATCAATAAATATATAATCAATTTGCATGGTGGCAATTCACAAAGCTATACTCAACCTTCAATAATCCATTTAATGCTGTGATTCCTTGGCTTCTACACATTCCGCTTAACAGGTGAGAGATTGTTGATGCCTTAAAGCTTGGAAATAGCATGTGCAGGCAAGTTTTTGAACCTTTTGGGAAGCTCCAAATCTTTCCACCCTTCAGCATCAAGCTTAGAGAAGTATCTGTCAACATCGCTGTCACTCAGAAGCTCCAATTTGGAAGGTTCCCACTGATAAAGATACAATCAACATGAGAACCAAAGAAATGCAATTTCAATAATACTAATTACTAAGTTACTAACTAATTTGTGTCTATAATTATGGCTTCTCACCTTTGGTTTCCTGTCTTTGTCTATCAGTATAGCTCTACAACCCTGCAATTGGGCATAACCATTGAGTATGGCATGAAATCAAAATAATCTAAAACAGAGACATGTTTATGAATCATCAAAAAACCTCAAAGAAATCTTTGCTATGGTGTCCTTGTAAGATATGGCAAACAATTCTATATTCACGAACAAGGCAATCACCAACACCTAGAAGCCTGACTTCTCTAATCTGAAAACGATCAATAAAAACATATGAAGCAGACATTATAATAATGGTAAGAAGTATAATAGACTCTTGTAGCCAACTATATTATGCCTCCATAAAACGTAACATTTAATACTTTCTGGCCACGTACCAATCTAAGAAAGATTTTAAGGCTTGTTGGAGATGATTTCTTCAAGGTTTCAAGAGTTGTAGAAATCCAACTGTCTGCCTTACTCGTAGCTTCGGTCTCCTAAATTAGTGTGATAAAGTTATGGTTGCTAAATGTCAAAAGGTATTTTTAATGGCGTAATAACTCAAAACATAGCTTACAAGAGAAGATAAAATTTCTTCCATTGTTTTCCGAGAGAAACACTTATTGATTACATACATCCTGCAATGAGTGGCCACAGTAAGTGAATGTAAAGGAGAAAGGTAACTGACTAAGACTAGAGTGATATTTTTCAATTATTTAAAAACAAACAAACACCAGACGTGCTCCAAGTTCACAGAAACACACCAACCTGCGATAAACACTGTCCTCTTTTAGGGAAACCTGCTCTGAGTACTTATCAATAATTGCAGAAACTACAGCTGAATCACTAGTTTCGACCTTGCATAATGATTCTTCCAATAACGATAGTCTCTGTGCATTCATTGCAAAAGGCAATCAAACAGACACAGATTAGAAACCACAAATCAAGGAGTGTAAACATCATATAAATAATCTTAGTCCTTAAAAAGGAATGTTTATGCATTATAAAGTTGTGACATAATAAAGTTCCATAGGAGTATCCATTAAAAGTACTGATGTAAGCCAAGCAATTAAATTTGGATAAGGCCGCCTTTGTTTAAAATGAATCTCCATGTACCTAACTTGGATAAGATTTCAGATTGGATAGAGCTTGTTCCTATTTTAAAGAATAAGGAAGGTAAGGTAATTGCTTAAAATGCATGTGGTTACACCTCTTAAGCATTCAAAACAACCTAAATTGCAAGAAGTTTCTCAAACCACTCTTCTCTTTTTTATTGCTAATAATAACTGTTAAGAACTAATTAAACAACACCTCTAACTTCTGAATAATTATATATATATATATATATATATATATATATATATATATATATATATATATATATATATATATATATATATATATATATATATATGTATATATATATATATATATATATATATATATATATATATATATATATATATATATATATATATATATATATATATGTATATGTATATGTATATGTATATGTATATATGTATATGTATATATATATATATATCAAGATAAACTTCTAAACCCCAGGCCTGAAAACCATTATCTTTCAAACTGCAATAATTTTCCAATGGTGGGTGCCTGTACATTTTTTAAGTTGACTGGAGTTTAGGTATTTATTTACCAAACTGCAAATCGGAAGAAATAGCCTAAAACTTTAGTAGTAGGAGCATACCGATGAAGGGACAAAATGTGTTGCAAGACCACAAGCAAGCAGTTCTGCACCATCCAACCTAGCACCTGTAAGACCAACATATTCACCTGCAATTTGTGTCCAAAACAAAGGAGGAGAGGGAATGTTATTGTACTTTTCTTATAAGACGTTTGCAATTTGCAAATCCTGAAAAGATGTTGGAATCATAATAAAAAATATTCAATTAAACAGTATTTGATTTACATAATCGAACCATCCCAGAGAAAGTAAACAATCGTGAAAATTCAAGAATGTACGCATCTCCCCTAACCTACCCCCTGGTGTTCTGTGTGTGCACGTACATGTGTGTGTAAAGTGGAAGGTGTTAATTGACTGACAAAATCAGTTATGCACCAAAATTATAGGAGTTATCAGAGACAAAAATGATGAAAAGATTGAAATTTTGAGTAATGTTAATATCAACTAAACCATTTATGATAAATTAAATTTAGATATCTAAGATACAACTTTCATACCAAAAAATCCAGCTAATCTAGACAAGAAATATGGAGCGCCTACATCAGGAAATAATCCCAAAGCTGTTTCTGGCATTGCAAAGACCTGCAGATGGTCCAGTACATATATGTCATGAAGTACAAACATAAAAATTAAATCAATGAACATCTGGATGCTAAATAGATAGGGACAGGCATATCTGTATAAGCCATTTCAAACCAACCTTTCTTTCATATCATTGTTTTCTTTTTTGGATAGAAAACATATTTCCAAATTCCAACAGTGAACAAGAAAAAATCCAAAGAAATAATATTGTTAGAACTTATAAATATGAAATATATTAGAATATTTTGATCCTAGTGTATTTTAAATTATTTCTTAGGATTAGTTTCTATATTATTTAGTTATTATTATGATTTGCTTCCTGAATTTCCTATTTATTAGGGATTAGGAATCTTGTATCCCTATAAATAGGGATTATCATTTAGTCTTTTGTATCAAGTTAGTATCATACCATTATTAATCATATTTCACAATAATTATATATCGAATTATTCTCCTTTTATCTAAAACTCATAACTTCAGCAAATACAAATAAGACACCTGCATAAGATTTCCAATGGTATTGTGCCGCCTAAGGTTATAGAGAAGTGCCAGATATTTTGAAAGAATATATTATAAAAATAGGTCATGTTTTGAAAAACTCCCTCTCTATATATATTAAGATGATTTGACAGGCTAGGCTTAGTAAATTGTTGACTACTTCAAATCAGTTAATTGCCAGCATCTTCACTAAATCTCTTCATGACCCAATGGTAAAATGTATATGCAACAACCTTGATGCATATAATGTATGTGCACCGGCTTGGGAGGATTGTTGATAGTCTTTGATACATCCTTTGCAATTAGCAATAGAATCCTATTATAATTAGGATGAATATTGATCCATACAACTTAGGGATTAGGGTTCTGAAATGAAAATATGCCAGCATTATAAATTTCCTGAGAGTTTCTCAGAAGCAATAATTCTTTGATTTGGTTAGACTATCCAATGTATCTAGACACTAAAGTAATTACATGATAATGATCTCGACAAAACGTACGGTATTTTCTGTAACGACCCGAAATCTTCCGTGCATAGAAGCACCAGCGCCACCTCCCATGACAATTCCATTAAGAATTGAAACCTGAAAATGTTTGGAAACAGATGTGAGGAAATTTTATGTGCTAAAGCCAAGAGCGCAAACACAAAACAGAATAAATGTTTGTACAATCATAGAGTTACCTGAGGCTTACTATATGTTGCCATCAAATAATTCAAATTATATTCCGTATCAAAAAACTTTGCACCAAACCTCCAATCACCTATTCCATAGGGAAACAAATAATTAGTTTTTCATTTGAGTTAATACAGCATTTGAAAATCCATGCTTTCAAATTTATATTCTCTATACTTCCATAAGAAATTCAGAAACTGCGTGAGATTTGAATTTAATTAAGATTGTAACAATTGTCTCAACTAGAGTGTACTACAAGGCGAGAATTAAATTTATCCCAAAATAAACAGTAAGGGGAGTCAACCTCATGGTGGAGGTTAGGGAAACTGACCACCAAAACAGAATTAAGGGTCGCCAGGGTAGAAAGATGGGATTGCCAGCAAGATGAATACAGGCAACGTGTGCCTTCACATGCTACCACGAGGCACATGACTCTGATATGCAAGCAAAACTCCAATGCGTGACAGCAACTCAAGATGGATTTGTTGGTTGGATGAAGGCTGGTAGTTCGTCTAGTGAGGTTGTCGGATGAGGTTTTGCTGGCAGTAGAGGGTGATAAATGGTTTGGTGTCCCAATATCAATATAAATGCAATGAAGGCATCAAGCCATCAACAGAGTGTCGAGGTTAGCAATAATAAAGGTAATTGAGCCACAGCTGCAATGAAGGTTGCCTAAGGTTTTTGCAAAAGCATGGTCTCCGTCTTCCATATCAAGAGCTCAAATACCAACTTGAAATAAAAAGACTTTGTTAACGATAATAGTTTCACACACTGCTCTTTTCATTATAGACCTAACAACTTTTACCCTGTCTAAAACATAATCCCCTATGCATGGTTACGAATAATCCTAATAAAAGAATAATTTTATGAAATTATAATAAGGGATGGTTACAAATTTACAGCAGCTCATAAATGAAAAGTAAAATCAATAAAAGAATATAATATACAACAACAACCACCAAATCTTATCCTACTAAGTGGGTCGGCTACATAGATCAACTTCCGCCACAATGTTCTATTCAGGACCATGTGTTTATCTAAATTGTTAATCCCGAGTCCTTTCTTAATAATTTCTCTTATAGTATAATATGAAATACTTTCAGAAAAAGCCTAGTATGAATACGGCGCTCATGGCAATGCAATGAACATTATAGTTATATTATCTGATAAATTAAGTAATAATAAAACATGCCTTCTTTTGCATCACGAGCAACGGCTGCAACATCACCACCAGCACAAAATGCCCTTCCATTTCCCTGATATAGGGAGCCAAAAGTTAGAAAATCGAGGTTATCTTCGGTTTGAATCTTTAATTTATTCAGGTTTCCCTTCAGACATATTGATTACTTTCAGACACCAATTTGCTCTTGCAAGAAAATGTCTAAGAAATAATTTACCAGTTTATTCATTCTTATTCCAATTGCTAGAACTTTTCTCTCTCTTCCATATTTAACATCAGGCAATAACAAAATGCAAAAAGTGCTCAGTAAAGGAAAATGACTTTTCTCTCTCTTCCATATTTAACATCAGGCAATAACAAAATGCAAAAAGTGCTCAGTAAAGGAAAATGACCTTAACGATAACCAATTTAACATCAGAATTTTCCTCATCGTCATGAAGTACTTCCAGTAGCTTAGATACCTATATCAGGAAAAGAGAAGAATAATACCAAGAGAAGTAAGAGAACAGGAAATGGAATTGGAACTTCACAAATAGTATAATAATTTTTTAAAAGAGATCAGCCAGGTATGTGGAAGAAATTAAAGTAATTTTGGTTTGTAAAATTATCTGTCATTTCCAGTGCAATATTTAGAAATTAGAAAACAAAATTAAAAACAAGGTAACATTTTTGTAATTATTTGTGAGACAAATTGTAAAAAAAAATGTAGTTGGACCTAACTCAACTCTACAAAACCAGATTGCCCCCACGTATAAGCACATGTTTAGGCCATATATTGTCCTATGTGGGGCTCTAGACATCTGGAGCGTGAAAATAAATGGTGGATGGCCTGAAAGTGGAAACCTGATAGCAGGTGGCTTAACGGATCTTAAACTGGGCTCTGATACCATGTTTAGAAATGTGGTTTGGCCTAACTCAACCCTACAAGATCGGCTTGTAGGGTGAGGATACCCCACACTTAGAAACACATGTTCATATTTTCTACCAATGGATGATCCGGGCGAAAGATGGCGATTAAATAAATGGGGCTGTAAACATGTGTTAAGGCTGCTGACTACTGAACAGGATGATGCAATCTATGCGGCTGTTGCTGCAGCTTAGTCAGTAGGTGAGGAGACACTGATCCATTGTTATGGTATAGTTGTTGCTGTAGCATATTATTCAGGAGGTTTGAATTATCTCCAGGATACAACCCTGTTTGGTTGACCCATTGATTCTGGATTCAATTATTGAGGGGGGAGCCAGTATTAAATTGGGTCTTATTTCCACTAAAATGTGGCACATATTTGGATCCACCCAAGTGTAATGCATAATTGAATAAATGAGAGTGATTATGTGATGACAGTGCATGTGAGCTTCCCCAGCATAAGGAATATTCAACTGACTTGTACTGTGATTTGAAGAAGACTGTTGAGACCTACCACCAGGGGGTGGATAGGAAGTAAATGAAGATTTTGGTGCCAAAATTGGTTCACTCGAAAAACGAGGAAGCTCCTGTCTCGTGTCAGGATAAGAAGATGTTCTATACAAGGGCATTGGTCCTTCTGTGTTTGAAATAGAGGAATGTAGATGTGATGACCGTCTCTTTTCATCATCAGCGGTTTCACTATCATAAAAATGCTAACAAGACCAGTTAGGAACAGGTTCACTAGAGCGATGTTCGAGGTGGTGTTGCAGCTGTGATTGCTGCTCAGGATATGACGACGTTCGGTATAAGGGCTTTGATTCTTGTAGACGAGTGACAGAAGAATGTGGATGTGAGGACCATCTTTTTCCATCTTGAGAACCTTCACTGTCACAAGTGTGATAGTCAACCCAGTAGGGAACATCATCCCTCTGTGACCATTCAAAAGCAGAGGAATTTTCTCTTGACACCCGATCACCAACAGTTTTGTTCAACTTCCAAAAAGTGTTGAGAGATCATCAATTTCAGAAAAAGATCTTACCTCCTCCGCCACTTCTACATTGAGAAAAAACTCCTCGTTTAACTCAACAGAAGGGATGTAATCATTTTTATCACCTAACCCCCCCAACTCAACTTGCTCAGCAACATCTTTACCAAAGAATGCATATTGTGATGCATCAAATAATGCACCATCTTGAGAAACACTTTCCAAAAGGTTAAAATCTTGGGTGTTAGAAGCACCAAGAGCATCAACCAAGTAGCACTAAACACACCGCACTCTTCTTTCAACTTTCCCCCCTTTTCTTCAATTCTTCATCGCTTGTGTTTTTCTATTCTCCGCGACCTTACGAATCCAATATGGGACTCTTAACACAAATAATGGAAAGAAACAAAACACTTAAACAAACCAAATGATGTAACCGGAAAAAAAATGTACTCATCGGTAGCATTTGGTGGTGAAATTGAAATAAAATAAAAAACAAGATAAGAAAAATGATAAACTTAAATTTCATCCTTTGAATAGGACCAAAGAGAACAAAAGCGAATAGGTCGTTCTCTTGCATTCTGTCAAACAACATTACCATAAAATTTGAAATATACATTTCAGATCATAAATGTAACTATTTTTTTCTCATGTTGAGCCAAAGTAATATATACATGGCTAGACAGCACGGGTTAGAAAACAAGACTAAGAAGAAAGACAATTCCAAAAAGAAGCCCCAATACATCTTCAGGTGATTTTGAGTATGCACTGCAATTACCATAGAAATAGTGGGAAGATATCCATCACATTACAATGAAATTCAGAATCAATTTCAAGCCACATTGGAAGCTAAACACGGGATTTGAACAACAAATTATAGCTTAAAAATCAATTCTAGAATCAAAAGTTCCAAATTTTAGCTTCAATTATAATCAATTCTATAGCTGAGTGTGGAGAGCAACAAAAACATATTAAAATCAAATTCTACACTTCTAGACTCAAATTTAACTCCTCCAAAAGTAAAATAAAATAATTGAACAAAAAACACTTGAACGAGAATAAAAATAAGATTTGGAAACAGTACCATATAATAAGAGAGTGCGTTCAATTGCTTTGGCCTGTTCAATGTCAAAACTCTCGCATACGATTTACGTTCCACCAGAACCTGAAACAGAAAACGATTCCAACATTGAAAAATATTCGGATGAGTAAAAATGGATTGAAATTTTAAAGAGAAAGAATAAAAAGAGAATTGTAGAATACGAACGGAAAATAGAGAGTGGAGAAAACCTGATCTTCATCGAGTTTGGCGACGGATGCCATGGCCGGTTGTTTCGTTGGAGGATGTTCACGGTGAGGAGGACTGAAGACTGACGGAACCAAAAATGAGGAATTTTCACACACGATAAATATTGTATTTATTAGTATATTTTTATTATTATATTTTTATGTTAATAATAATAATTAAAATTAATTGAGATTAATGTCAAAATAATCGGATCAAAGTTGGTTAACAAGCTCTTTTTTTTTCTTTTTTTTTTAATTTCTAGACCTTATATATTACTTAAATATCATGTGAAAATATAAAATATTTTTAGTATTTAAAAATGCATTTTCATACGCACTTTAAATAAATAGAAATTTGAATTAAACTTAAAAAGTTTCTGAGTTATTTTGAAGATGCATCGTCCGACGGTATTAAAGTTAAAATTACGTCAGAACTCTTCTCCTCCCTCATTTCTAAAAAACACAATTTTCTCAAATTCTCTCAAAGATTCTTTCATCCAAGTTCAAAGATTCTTCAATCAACATTAAGTACATCATTCAACACTGAAGTAAACTTTAAATTTGTAAGTTTTTTATGCTTTGAAAAGTTTTTTGAGTTTTTGGTATAAATGAGTAGAAATTGATGATTTAGATAAGAAATGAGTATAAATTGTATGAATAATAGTTTATACATATTGTAAAACATGTTTGTTGGTTGAAAATAACGATCAGCCCATTATTTTAGGGTTTGGTGGTTTGCGTTGCCGCCATTGATGAACCTGAAAAGTTGCAGAAAATTCTGGAGATGCATCTCCGAAATTTTTCAACATTTGGATTGCACGGTAGTCGAAGATACACCTCCTTAAATTATCAGCCAATATTTTTTTTGCTTTTCTTGCTTGTATGGTTGTCTGTACTAATTGTATGGTTTACTTACAAGCATTATGGTTGATACATACGATAGACTGAGGCACGAGAGGTTGCATAACATGCATCAGTGCGAAGGGAGAAGAGTAAGTTTCGGAGGCTCCTGTTCACTTTGGGCATACGAGAGCATCTACTTCTAGGGTTCATACTTCTCTATTTCCTTCTTCCCGTTGGAGATGAGTTTCACCTACCGACGCATCACTTCCTTCATCCTCCCGCATGCGACAGGTTTCACATATTTAGGCGTCAGAGGTACCCGAGTCACCGGTGGTACCTGAGGCACCACTGCCACCTCAGGTACCGGAGGTACCTAATGCTAATGAGAATTCTGAACTAGTGTCACCTCCGGCTGATGAGGTTGTTGAGCCGATGCCACCGCTAGTTGTTGAGGATGATGAGTCAGTGCCACCTCATGCATTTGGAGGGGGGCCTGTAGAGTTGTCATTGTTGTCTTTGTACCCAAAACCATACTTCCAGACATATCTGAATGAAAAGGTAAAATTAGTTGGATTCATTCTTTTTAAATTACGTATATTACTATATTACAAGTTTCTGACATATATTTATTTTTCTACAAAACTGTGATCCGCTGAAGTTTATTAACCATGATTGGAAGATTAATGGCTTGCCTCATTATAATGAGGATGGTTTTAGGCTACTTTGTCCCTATCTAGGTTTAAGCACTTATGCATGATCGGTTATATTACGATCAACCACAAGATGCTTAATGCATTCGTGGAGAGATGGCACACCGATAACTCATTTTTTCATCTCCCGCTTGGTGAGATAATTATCACACGCGATAATGTATCGTTTTTGCTGCATCTTTCAATTAGGGGAAACTTTTAGGTCATAGGAGGATTACCAGAGATGAGACACTCGGGGTGATGGTATACTATCTGGGAGTTGACCTAGAGGATGTCATGAGTGAGTTTGAAAAACCCAGAGGGGCTCATGCTATGTGTAAATTTATGAAAAAGGTATATACATATGAGATCATTAGAGTTGGGAAGGCTAGAGGCGATTACGAGCAGGTGGGGCTCCATAGAGCATGCTATGAAAGCATACCTGCTATATTTGGTTGGACTGTGTTTTTTCTATGGACAAGAGCGCCACTTATACAGATGTCATCTACCTACGGTACTTCGAGGACTTCAAGCGAATCCATGAGTACAAATGAGGGCCGCTTGTTTGTTCTACTTGTGCTCGAAGTTATCAGAGGATTGTAGGTGGAAGACGAAGAATTTCATAGACATCATCACGCTACTGACAATAATATTTTTTGGTTTTTTTAATATTTATGCATCTTTTCATTGTATTTGCAATGCCCTTACTAATGATTTGTGTGTTCAAACACATAGCACTTCACGCGCATTTCGGAGTTAGTTGTGTGTATCGACTTACACTGAGGATATGTCATGTGCTTCTGCATCTACTCCGTTCTTAAGGAACCAGGCGATAGAGTCATTCATAGTGTATCTTGACCGCTTGGTTACCGAGGATAAACACTTCAACAATTACGTCGATCATCGTGAGACACGACCATTTGACGACAGAGTCTTATAATTGGGATGGTTTGCTTGTGGCTCACATCTCACATTTCCCCGTTTTCCTGAGCGCATCATGCGGAAGTTCGATTACACTCAAACTATTCCCAAACATCCTGTTGTATTTGCTCCTCATGTTGTGACAGGTACATAGATTGATACCATGTTTGATGATTTCTTAGTCATCTTATATGGAAGAGACACATAGTACCATAGCCGAGAGCGACTGGAGCTATGTCGACAGGTGCATCAGGTGGTTCTTTAGGGTGTCACATCTGTATATAGTGCATGCTGCTCCAGGAAATCCGCCGAGGCCAGCTCATCAGGAGATATAGAGGAGCAGCGGACACAGTTAGATCATGCGCATGATGTCTTGCCTAGGTGTCGTCGCATATTGGAGATTATGCATGTACACATTGACACAGGAATCTTTCCTGATGGGTCTGAGGTGAGGCATATCTTATATTCATTATGACAGTGGTACGAGAGGCACTAATGTGTGAGAGACAACGTCGGAGGACGGGGGTAGTGGACGTCGAGGAGCACGAGGAAGCAGAGGAGTTATAGTCTGACATACACAATAGTATATAGTACTTGTACTTTGGATTCATTATGGATTGTATCTAATTTTTACTTCATTATACTTTATTGTGCATTTCGACCTTATTTATGTATGTCATTTTTGGACCATCTGATTTATATATCTCATTTTTTACATATCGATTGTATGATTTAAATCTCATCACATAACAGGGTTCTTAACATTTATAAATCATCACTTTAATCAAAGTAACCATAAAACAAATATACTTTACACTGTTTTGATAGGGTACAGAGATGCATCTCCGTAAACCCTAAATAGAAATGCATTTGCACAACAATAAACGTGTTAAATACTTTTTAGAGTAGGATTCGTGATGTGTGTTTTAAAATATTTTAAATATATATTTTCAAATCAATTAACATTTTGATTTAAAACAATATACGTTTGAAAATGTAATTTTAAAAACTAAAAAAATATTTTTTATAAAGTGTTTCTCCATCTCATAAAATGAGATTAAAAAAATTTAGTGATGCAAAGCCAAAAACCCATAAGAAAGATTACAAAATAATCCTCTTTATAAACTGAGACGGAGCCAAAATATTTAGAATATAGAACATAAAAGTCAATCATACATATATTAAATTATTTTCATCATTATGCCACTTTCATATCTTATTGAAAAATATTTTCACAAACATTTATATTTGAGATATAATTATATATGTTTAATTTATTTTATATTGTTTTACAATATACATATCAATTAAATTATAATTAGTATAAGAGCAACTTTAACGCAGGGTTGTTAAACCAAAATTCTTTATAGCTTACGTTAGTAATAAGAAATTTGCATTACAGGAGAGCTGACATGGCATCCAAGTGAACTAAAATTTAGTTCCCATCATCTATATAGTTAACGTTAACTATGTGAAACCTATTATAATATTATTTAATATTAATAAAATATTTCAAATATTTCAACAACATTAAAGTAAGGGTATGATATTTGAAAATAGTAACGGTCATATTATCATTTTTTACCTTTTATTAATTCTATAGAAATTTTAATTTTTTTTACACACAGTTTTACTTTTAAATTTTTTTCTTTCAATTTCCAATCTTATTTATTTATCAAATGGATCCCAACCAATCGAATCCTTATTATAATTATATTCCTATGAAAATGTAATTTTTTTATGTATTATTGTTGTGAATTTTGTATCATTTTTAATTTTATAATAAAATATATTTAATATTATTTTTAAGTTTTTAAGGTAAATTTTATTTAAAAAATTATATGTATTTTAATTAAAATAATTAAATTAATGGTAACTTGAATAAAAAATATAAAATGTGGGGTCAAGTTTTGGTTTCTTATAGACAACCACCATTAAAGTAAAAACTACTCAAATCAACTATAAATTTTTTAAATCCTACAAATCACTTTGGGCCCACAAAAAGTATCTTAGTTTACCTATTTAGTTTACTCCCACTAAAGATGCTCTAATATATTGCTTTTTTATGTAAAGTAAGAAATATTTATTTAAAAAATATTATTAACATAAAATGATAACAAATGTTAGAAATACATTAACTATGAGATTTAAATTCAAATTTGGGTAAATATATTAATATTTACGATTCCTTTTGGACACTACTATATCTTATCTATTGAATAAAATATGTATTATAATTTATACTTTATAAAATATAAATAAGTACACAAACCTATTAAAGTATTTACACTACAAGAAACATTGTATTTTCCCAAGTGATTCTCACGTCACTAAGTTAAAAATCACTTCACTAACCACTATTTGCGACGTGGGAAAAACACGCCGGAAATGCAATGGTGGGAACTTTTTCCCACGTGAAAAACACGTCACAAAGTTGTGACATATTGACACAAGTTGAATTATTTTCCCATGTGACTCCCACGTCACTAATTAGTGACTTGGTTTTCACGTGGGAACTCACACTGAGTAAATAATTTTCCCATGTGATTCCCACGTCACTAATTAGTGACATGGGATGCACTT